TTTACTATGGCGCGAGTTTAAAGTTATTGAGTTTAATTTTAATTTTCAGCTTGAGGTCAAGCATAAAACAGAGATGATGGGAAAACTTTATATGTGGGCAGATCCTATATTTTTTACTATTTTTAGTAATATAGGAATTTGTTTAAATTTGCATTTAGTTTTGGCTTAAACACATGGTCCAGAAAAACCATTGAAATTATTTCGTTCTAGTTACCCTTGTTCTCTCTAGCAGATAATATCTACTCAGCCTATGGGATGTTGCAGCAATTTTACACATTCATGTGGAAAGGGTGAATGACTGTAATGCTCATTACTGGCTGAGTGGATGATGTTTGTATGTTACAGATGACAAATGATGTGAGAGAATGAGCAGTCATGTGGTGATGGTATTGCAAAGAAAGAATATGATATTTTTTGCACAATCAGAACCTTTGTGCTGGAGAGAATCTTACGTGGTAGTCAAAGTGTTTAGTTCGAGAGAGAAAGCTGCCGACCCGTTCACTTATCTAGTAGAGGATATCATCCCTTTGTCTATACAAGTATGCATGCTTTTTTCTTTTTTTGCTTTGTCTATAATAAATACTGTTCCCACTTTATATCCCATGTGTTAAGTCTGTTTATTTCTCACATAGCTTAAAACTCACTTTTATCTCTCAGGCTACTTAATGAATTTCCTGCCCAATCCTCCTGTTATTAAGTGGATCTATCTGATACTTGCACAGAAATCAGTTTATCTGAAAATACTAAAATATTAACAAGTTTTCAACAAATTCTATAATTGAGAATAAAATGTTGAAAGAAACTAAAATCAAAATGAAGATCTTCATTGGTCACAAAATTTGTCCATTGAGACAAGTAACTAAAATGAAAAGCAGTTGTTGAAATGGACAACTTACCTAATGAACTGGCGATTAAATGACGTTTCAGTGCATTTCCTGTATGTCCACCACGTCTGTGACTCTTCTGTACGAAGATACTGATGCTTAGTTTACGTGGAAAAGCCAGAACAACAGATCTGTTGAATTGTATAATTACCAGTTCAACAGGTAAGTTGAGGTTGTTTATAACCATAACAACTTTTACCTGCTCATTATCAGATAAGTATGCCCTTTAAACATTCCTTGATTGATAAAACGGTTTAATGAATACTTTAATATTTCATATATAATTTCAAATATCACATGCCTGTAACATATATATATATATATATATGGTTCATATGTACAAAGTTTTGAATTTTATATAAAGCTCTAATTTGGAACATGCTAAATCCAATCAAGATTGTGTGCCAGTTCAACCCTAAGTGTTGTTTTCTGTAGCATAATTCGTTCAAGAAAGCTATATAATGTTCCTTGGAGTAGTTGTATTGTGTCCTACGTTCTCTTATGTACATAGATTTGCTTTATATTTGTCACATAAAAATGAGATGCTTCAGATACTAGTGATGCAAATTTTTGATTGATCAATTACAAATTAAATGTGAAATGTGAGAGCTATTTCGGTGTTTACAACCATATTCGTTTCTGAGATTGAAGGATACAAGAGTTTTGTAGAAGTCTCACCCTTGTTTTAATTCAAACAGATTTTAAGCTGTTGATCTAGTGATCATCTTTTCAACTTGTTACATGCAAAACTTAATTCATTTTATTTTGTTTAAATACAGAGCATAGAACTCTTTCCACCTACTAAAATTATTGATTTTCGGTCTGTTATTTAAAACTGCTGTTAATCTTAGTCTTTCCTACGAAAATCACTGAGTTCAAGGACATTAATGGAAAGTCACTTAGAAGGGACTAGCCAATCTTTGTTACTGTGGGACCTCCAGGAGTGCTCTGTACAGCAAGTGAAATATTTCAGTATCCAGCAAGTCTGAGTTCCCAAACTGTTTGGTCCCTTTGGAAGCAACTAGAGATGAGCGCTGGTGGATTGACAATATTCATTAACCCAACTTAACCTACTTCCCAGAGACGTGTGGCCATTATGTCCTATGTGTATCTGTGGTGTATTCTAAATGACCCAGGAGTTTTCTTTAAAAAATTCCAGCTACTGGAGAGAAATTGGTACCTTTTGATACTGGTTTCATAACAATTCACGCTTAGTGACATAAAGGATGGATATAATCTGTTTCACCTTACTATTTTCTCCCAGCAGTGGCAAAGGCAACCTTCCTACAGGTGTTCAGCAAAAGAATACTTACATGGATGGCAACTATCACACCCAAAAATGTCCGGAATATTATTTTCCCAGTACAGTTTTATGCCTTAAATTCTGGTCTGAAAATTGTTTTCCCCATATGGTGATTTCGTAAAGAAATCGGTAAATCTCGTTATTAAGTATATATAGGAATATCTCCACCCTATTTCCTGGTAAGTCAGCGTGATCTGGTAGTGAAAGCCATTGTATTTTGATATGCAAGTTTGAGGTTTGGCTCCAGTCTCTGTTCAATTACCTTTTTACAGATCTTTTGATAAAAACTTACATTTTTTTACTAATTTTTCTGGTTTTATGTCCATTTATCTGGTTATTGAATGTCGGGAGTCAAAACTGTAAATTTGTTTGTTCTACAAGCCGTTTTAAACATATTAATATATTTGCCTGATTCAAAATTTATTTCTTATTTTCTGACAAATTGTTTCAGTTTTATGGGCGTTCAAGATCAAAGAGGATTTTACATATCTAAAAAATATTTATTTGTGATAGTCAGTAAGTTTTATATCAATTTTTGCTTAATAATCTACAGAAAATTAATTCAACAGATGGCACATTCAACCTATTAATTGCACGATATAATACGCTAGGTTTCGCCACCAGGCCTCACTGGCTTACTTGCAAGAAGGGGGGGGGGGTTAGGATTTTACACTATATGTTTACTTGTGGAAGTTTTTGACTTTAGGATCCGAATTCCCGATGTAAACACCATGTGGATAAAAACTGTTGTTTTTGGATGTGACAGTTGTCAAGGTGGATCACTCTCTTAAGAAGTTGTAACAGGTAGCTACATGAAATTCCTGGTTACAAGATCAAACAACACAACATTTACTACTTAGTTGACATGTTCTGGCACTAGACTCCAAGAAGTACCTGGAATTCTACAGATTGAAGGTCATTGTAGCAGGATTGCATCTGCCCTTGAGTCCAGTTGATAATAACAACATCTACTGAACAGAATAAGGCTCGTATATTCAGTGGCCATGAAAATGTACCCATGTACACTGAGGAGCTGTGACACATACACTGGAAAACAAACTCTAAAAGCAGTTGACTAAAAGGATATTCTGAAAGTGCGTTGTAACAACAGTGTATAAGATATAACCTTAATCAAGTTACTAAAGCAGAAGAAACTTTCAGTAGTAGCTTCAGTGGTTCCACCACAGACTCATAATCGAGTGTATCAACGCCCAATACAGCAGATGGTGCTACCTCTCACAGACACTGTATAATGATTCAGTTCAACTGGGATTATTTCCAGTTGAGCAACAGAGATACTCTGAACCTGCTGCTTTACTTGTATCAATGATGCGGTTGGAGAATACAAGTTAGCAGAGATACTTGCTAGAAATGTGAACAATTTGATCATGGTGGCGTAGTTGTCCTTTCTTTGTGTCTTCACATGAGCTCACATGCTTGCCACATATACCACGTAATTGTCATTACGCTCTGGGGAGACAACAGGTTCAGTAGATTAAACTACCAAGCTCTTGGTGAGATCTATCCACTGATCTAGTACAGAACAAATGTCTGTTTATAGCTTTAGTTGTGGTGGTTGGTTTAATGTCTATAGGTACAAGCATGGTTTGTTAGGTGCCTGTGTAAGTACACAGTAAAAACAAATTTATTCCTCGTGCATGAGAGGCTTGAAGTGAAAGGAAAGGTCTAACTTTTTATCACTGTGGTGTCATCATTAAACACACAAGACTTATTATCACAGACTTTCATTGTTGTGGCTAATGGCCTATATGATCACCCAAGTCTAGTTATTAATTGATAACTAATAATTATACTTAGTTGATTGTATAACTAATTAACTATGACAACAACTAGTATCCAATCGCCCATAACCTTACTATAAGTAATTATCATAAAAGTTTGTTCTGGTATCAGCATTTTCGATTTAGATGTCTTACATAAGTTATATACAAGTATAGCATGTGTACCAGAGGAATTGTAACTCTTTGGTTAAACCATAAAATATCGACCAAAATATGTACAATTATAATGGAATACACAAGCATACATGGACAATGGTGATTTGTGTTATAGAAGCAATGCCTGAAACACGCTGTTTTCTTTCAAAAAAACCTAAGACATGCATGTTTGGACAGTTATCTCTGAAAGAGAAAAAAGCATACAGTCAAAGTCTCATCCTTGTCTTAATCTCAAGTTTAAACTGCTGACCGTCTCTCAAATATTCAGTCAATTAGTCAATCCGATTCGGTTTACTACAACTAAAACTTATATTTAATCTTATTTTATTTAAATAAACTTTCTTTTATCTACTTTTTATTTTAATACAATTTATTTTTCTATTTAACTTCATCCATCACAATACAGTAATCGATCAGCCATTTCTATCTCTTGTCTCTTGTTTATTTTTTTTGTTTCGACTCCATGCCATGAATTGTTTCTTGTATTTCGCCTGTAAAAAATACTACACCCGTTTTCCATACACACTACATCAGCGAACCTCATGTTATAGCGAAGATCAGGTAATTATGTGTACTTGGAATATCACAACACCATAGCTAAACGTGTTCATTTACATAGCAATGTATATTATTCGAAAATATATTACATTTTTGATATTATATGGTTATGTTTATTAAAAACTGAATTATATTGACTCTATGAACACACTAAGACATGGTGATTTCTCAGAAGACACTTTCTGATTAACAGAGGATCTTAATTTATAAAGACAATACACAGCAGCGACTTCAAAGAACTAATTCTCTTGAGCATTATTCAGAAAAAAGAATTTAATAAATATGTATTCCTTTTAGACTCTTGAAAGATTTCCCTCTAAAAACGAGAAAGAATGGATGAAAATGACAGTAGGGGAATTAATAAGTTCTACAAAAGAGGTGAGTACACGTTTATAGGTGTGTTAGCAACTAAAAAAAACCAATAACATCACTGAAGACTTGAGTGTGTGCATTTCTAAAATAATGCAGATGAAGTGTGAACAACACAAAACGATTGTGTACATGAGCAAAACAATTCAGATGAAATGTAGACAATATAAAAGACTTAAGAGTGTGCGTATGATTCAGAAAGACGATATATATAAAGCTTGGATTTTAATAAAGACTAGAGTTTGTGTTTGAACAGTGGAAAATAATCGAGAATATGAACATTACACAGGAAAACTACCAATAAAGTATGAACTATATTACCTTGTGTAAATGTATGTAAAGCGTGAACAATATAGAAGACTTGAGTATTTGCGTTACTAAAAACACTACAGATAAAGTGTGAATAATCTAGTTGAGCTACGAATATGTTATGATTTAGACTGGTTTTTATAAGGTGTGAATAGTATAGCAGTGTGAGGTATGTGAATGACTGACTGAGATAAATGTGGACAAAACGTGGATTGTAGAACTACGAACTATTTGTATTATAGACAAACAAATGGATACTAGTACGTGGCGAGTAATTGGGTACTGAAGTGTAGTGATACATAGAGGCTTTAATGTAGAGAAGCAGTAAATAATACACACGAATATTACCTGAATTTAATGGAGTTGACGATATTGCTGGATAGGTCAAAGTGAAGAAACCAGTAGACACAATTTAAGTGAGTTAAAGAGAATGTTAAATTTCACAGAAAGGCTCATATGTAATCTGGAGAACCAATGAATACAAAAGAGGTATGTCAAAAATGTATCAGCTACAATATTACAAGATCTGTTAAACTGCCGTAATCAATAGATTTTTTAAGAAATGAGTGAGTAAAAACTCTTTACTAGAATATAGAAATTGTTAAGATATATAGATATAAAAATGTAATTACTACAGGATTTTCAGAAACGGAAGATATACAGCAACATTTCAACAAGCAAACTTTTAATTAAACAGTTTTTAAGTAAAACGCATGGAAATATTTTTACTTCTATGTCCTCGATATTTAATTCGTTTACACAAATTTGATCTCGTTAGTATTGTAGATTGGAAACCACAAAAAATGCGAGGGCACACCCAATCTCTTAAAAATGTGCAAAACAGATAAGGATGTATAGGTAAAGGCAAAAAAAAAAAAAACGTGGGAAAACA